AATGTCCTAAGCCAAGTAGATAACATGTGTTGGTATGCAAGTGCATGGCTATGCCGATGAGAATCCAGCCTGTGTCCTGTCTGCATTTCAGCACGGTCACCATGGAAATGGGAACCAGCCTGCACAGAGCCTAACAAAGGAAACCTTTAAATGAAAATAACAACACTGGAGAGAGACTGCACAAGATTTCTGCTGGGGAAAATTACTTGCTTTACTCATCTGAATATGCAGAAACTCTCTTTTGCCTTCATTAATCCTAAAGGAAAGTATTTTATTCACACTTAGCTGTTTTGACATTAGGCCATTACACTGGCAGTCCCAGTTATTAGCCGTCATGAAAATACATTGCAAGAAACACATGCAAACCCACTTTCATTCATTCAAAATTACAATAGTGAAGAAAGACCACAATGAATAATATTTATATAGTGGCTAGGAAGCACAATGGAAACAAGGAGTAGCTGTACTTCTATTTCTTTAAATTCTTAAATTAAAATTCTGTGACACTGAACCAAAAAAAGTAAAGAACAATCTGCAGGCTGTTCCAGAGAGAGGCARCACACAGTTAAAACTTGTTGGTAGGATCTCATGTTGACTTTGACCAAATTATGCACAAATAAATATTAACTGTAAATGTGTTGAGGGGTCTGATGGTAATACCCTGTATGCKTTCTAAAGTAAACATAATACAAAATACAAGTCCTGTAATGTAGTATGAATGAAGCCTTACTTCAATGTGCAATGCTGTGAAAGGCAAAACTCCAAAAATAATATGYAGTAGTGCTTCTACTACTTGCTACCTCAGAAAGAAGGAAAAAATTAGAGAGTTCTACTTTCAGAAGAGTTCATATTTGAGTCCTGCTTTCAAGCTGTCTCCACATTATAGAATGATTTTTAGCATTAACATTACTCACAAAAATGGTWATAGAAGAGCAAGGTATAAAAAGATGATCACAAAAAGGGAGAAAGGCAGAAATCAAAATAGGTTGTGCAGTTTTAAGTCAGTGCTCACGCATACGTGTTATAATCAAACACTTCATTATCATCCCAACTTCTAGCTTCATTTATTGTACCAAATGTCCAATTTTCATTTGCTGCACAGTTATCAGTTTAGTCGTTTCTGCTATGTACATTGCTATGTACTTTTCATGTATATGATTTCAACCGTAGCAGTTCCCTTGTGGAATATTACCTACATACCTTGTCTATAAACATTAAAGTAYTTGTATGTGACAGAGGATTTATTTTTCAACACTCAAGTGTTGAAATGAGAGATCATCCTTAGCTCCATTTAAAAAAAAAAACTCAAAAAACAGTACTTACCTCTTTTGGATATCTAGTGATACAGCTAAAACCCTATTTTTGTCACAATACTTAGCACATTCAAGATACAATTTCCAAAAACTTCAGTCACAGCTGAGAATACAGAGCAGTTTTGCACAKCAAGATGCACTTCCACAACCAGCTCAAGCCAGTGGAAGTGATAGATACAGCTGGAGACTTTTCTAGCTTTCCTGCCTCCTCTGGCCACAGTTCTGACTGTCCCCTATGCCAGCACTAACAAATAAGTTGCTCAAGTGAGCAGGATCAGTTTAGATCATCCRCAAAACTAACCTGGCTCAAAAGTGGGAACAAATTATTCCATCAAAGGGGGTCCCTGACCTGTTCCCCAGACTAAGCCACAGTGATAGCACAGAGAAACTGATGGAAACATGCAACCAGGAGTGGATGAAATGTCCTTGCAGTGTCAGCTCCACATTCAGGTCAGCTTAACCAGATCGTGAAAATGCTGCTTCAGTTTTGAGAACCCCTGGCTGAGCAAAGAGAAAGAGAAGAACACAAAAGCTCCAACCACATGTCAAAGATTTGATTTAAATGACTCGTCTGAAATTGTACTCAGCTTTTGTG